CCCAGCCTATCTCTATGTTCATTGAAATATTATGCAACTTCGTGGCTGGGTGCGGTGGCTCCAGCCTGTAATCCCAGCACTTTGGGAGGCCAAGGTGGGCAGATCACTTGAGGTCAGGAGTTTGAGACCAGCGTAGCCAACATGGTGAAACCCTGTCACTACTAAAAATACAAAAATTAGCCGGGCGTGGTGACAGGCACCTGTAATTGCAGCTACTTGGGAGGCTGAGGCAGGAGAATCACTTAACCTGGGAGGCAGAGGTTGCAATGAGTTGAGATAGATTGCATCACTGCACTCCAGCCTGGGTGACAGAATGAGACTCTGTCTTAAAAAAAAAAAAAGAAATCTTAGGCAACTTCTACAGCCATTTTATTGTTTGCTTTTTGTTTCTTTCAACTTTTTCTTTTGAAGTAATTTCAAACTTACAGAAATGTTGAAAGAACAGTACAGTGGCCGGGCACGGTGGCTCACACCTGTAATCCCAGTACTTTGAGAGGCCAAGGCGGGCAGATCACGAGGTCAGGAGTTCGAGACCAGCCTGGCCAACTTAGTGAAACCCCATCTCTATTAAAAATACAAAAATTAGCTGGGTGTCTGGGCGTTGGGGCAGGCGCCTGTAGTACCAGCTACTCAGGAGGCTGAGGCAGGAGAATCCCTTGAACTTGGGAGGAGACGGAGGTTGCAGTGAGCTGAGATTGTGCCACTGCACTCCAGCCTGGGTGATAGAGTGAGACTTCATCTCAAAAATAAAAAAACAAAAATTAATACAAATTAAAAATTAAACTTCATGTATATATGTATTCAATAATTCTGTGCTTCAATATATCAAAGGTTTAATATCCAAAATTTAAAAAATTCTATGCTTCAACTTAAAAAAATTAACTGACCAAGTATCAGCCCCTATGACATCTAATAAAGCTTTTTTTCTCTGATTCAGTTTAGTTCAGAATTTACTGAGTGCATCCTATTTGCCAAATTCAGTTATAGATGCTGAGGTACAAAGATAAGATCCAGTCATTGGCCTTAATGAAACATATAGTCTAATGGAAGAGACAGGCAGATAAACAGACAGTGCCTGTACATGGAGATACGCGTTGAGTACCATGGAAGCACAGAGAAGGAACGCTTGTGAAGGAAATCCAAGAATGCAAGAATGATGGTACAGATTAAACTTAAGGATACATAGGACTTAGCCCAACAAATGTAGTAAGTAGGGGTGTCATTAAATAACTTGTATGACACCACCTGAGAAAAATTTCAAACTATATGTTATTCTTGCCTTTAAAAAAGTCACTATATAGATTGTAATTTTTATTCCTCAAAATGAAATGAGGGAAATAAGATAGTTATTGCACTCATCTCATTAGAGAAATAAGGAAGTGGGGTGGTTCGTGTCTTTTTTCCCAAAAAAGTAATTAGAAGGTACAAAGGTAGGTAAATTATTCAATGTAAAAGGAAAAAAATAAAAACCTTTAAGTTATTTAAAGTCACACAATAACAATATATTATGAAGTAAAAAAAAAAAGTGAGATGGGATGATTATTCATCTTGGTAGAATGGCCACTTTATCATGCCTTACTCAAGGACTGTTTTAATCAAAACGTTTTCAAAGTGTTCTCTTGATACTGTTAAATTATATAGCATTAAAGGTCTGATTTTTTCCCCCTGCTTTTGCTCACAGAGCCATTAAACGTCTGACTTTTTAGAGATCTCTACAATTTATTTCCTTTCAACAATCTGGGTAACACATAAAAAAGTATTCTGATAGAAAACTATTCTGGTGGCTACTCAGAGGTTTCAAATTGCTTTCAGGAGAGGGTAGCACTAGGTTTATTCCTCTTTTTCTTTGTTATTTTCTATTCTTTTAAAAAAAGTACTCTCCTGCAACTGACATTTCCAGACATTTAGAGTCCAAAAACATGTAACAGAACAGCATTTTTATTTTGCTCCTTTAAAGCAAACCACCAAGTTTTGCTGAAGTTTATCAGGTTTCTTGAGATACAATTCACATAAAATTAATTCAAAGTATAGAACTGAATTGTTTTCAGTATATTCAGACTTGTGCAAACATCACCTCAAGCTAATTTTAGAACATTTTCATCACCCCTAAAAGAAAGCCTATACCCATTAGCAATCATTTTCCATTTTCTCTCAACCTCTCCAGCCCTGGGCAATCAATCTACTTTGTCTCTACAGATTTGCCTACTGGGGACATTACATCTAAGTGGAATCATATATCATGTAGTCTTTTATGTCTAGCTTCTCTCCCTTAAGCATAACGGTTCCAAGGTTCATTTATGTCATCACATGCATCAGTGATTCATCCTTTTTATGGATGAATAATAATATTCCATTATATGAACATACCATATTTTACTTATCCATTCATCAGGTGATGGACATTGCTATGTACTGAATGTTTGTATGCCCGCCTCCCCAACTCCCCAGTTCGTATGTTGAAGCTCTATCTAACTCCTAATGTGATGGTATCTGGAGGTGAGACCTTTGGGAGTTAATTAGGTTTAGATGAGGTCATGTAGGGGTGGGGTCCCCAGGATGGGATTAGTGCCCTTATAAGAGGAAGACACTGAGGCTTGCTTCTTCTCTTTCCACAGCACAAACAGAGGGAAGGCCATGTGAGACACAGCAAGAAAGTGACAGTCTGCAAGCTAGGAAGGAGACGTTTTTTGGTTTTGGTTCCTCACCAGGAACCAAATTAAATGCTACCTTGATCTTGGACTTCCAAGCCGCCAGAACTGTGAGAAATAAATGTGTGTTGTTTAAGCCACCCAGTCTATGGTATTTTGTTATGGCAGCCCGAGCTAAAAAATACATTTAGGTTGTTTCTACATTTACACTATTATGAATAGTGCTGCTGTGAACACTCATATACAAGTTTTTATGTGGACATATTTTTTTATTTCATTCATTCATATACACTTTGGAGTGAAATTTCTGGGTCACATGGTTTAGTATTTTGAGGAAGTGTTTTTCAGAGTGTCTGTACCATCTTATATTCCTATCAGCAATATACTAATTTCTCCACATCTTGCCAATATTTATCACTGGCTGTCTTTGTGATTACAGCCATCCTAGTGGATGTGAAGTGGTATTTCATTATGATTTTGATAAGTATTTACTTAACGAGGACCCCATTTGTTTTCAATAAATATCTACTGTGTACTTAATGCTCCAAGCATTTCCGTTGGGATAAGTGAGTGTACAAGAGGAATATGGTTCCTGTCTCAGAACTTTAAACAAACCATTAAAAATACAAAAAGGGGGCCAGGTATGGTGAGTCACACCTATAATCCCAGGACTTTGGGAGGCCAAGGTGGGTAGATCCTTTGAGCTCAGGAGTTTGAGACCAGCCTGGGCAACACAGAGAAACTTTGTCTCTACAAAGCAT